GCGCATTTATGAATTGCGTAGTTATTCTGCAGAAGGTATTATGAAGGTATTCTGCATCAAATATTAATTTACCTTAATTAACTATTTATTTTTAGGAATATAAAGCACTATATCTACGAGGTTCATTAATATTTTTTTTAGATGTCAGGGTTATTTGTAACAATACCGTCAATACTATCCTCCTTGAATAGATACTATCATTGTATCGTTCCAGTGGATGAGAATACATAATATTGTAGAAGTAATGGAATATGGTTGAAAATCTTTCTCATGACTTTTGCAGAATTGCATCTACATTTACATGTCGAATCGAATATCGAATTTACTTCTAATGCATCAAGGGACTTCTTAAAAATAGGTCAAGGGTCACTTGGAATAACGATCTGTTTGTTACTTTCTATGATTTATTGCAAATCACACATTACTTTTTAGATTTTGATGTTACCATCTAGGAATTGTTTCTATTTTTTTTCTTTTTTTTTTAATAATCAACAAATTTATGCTTGATAGTTGAAGAAAGTACTGATAAAGATAAATATATGAAACTTTCGAGAATAGTAGTCCTTGCAAGTGTTATTGGTAAATCAAACTTATCGACAATTGATCTATAGAAACTGGTAGAGAATCGATATGTGTTTACATGAGGATGCTTGGGTGCTTGGTTTCTTTCCTAGTGTCTAGCTAAATATAGTGTCGGGTGCGGCCGTGCCGGTTTGACAAGCCGGCCGGTCGGCTTTCTTAGCTATAATGCGATTTCACGAATCCATAGAACATTGCGCTACTTCCACTAGGGACAAAGATGTCCTCGATTAACCTAGATTTCCTAAATTCCATAAAAGTACTAAAATCATATATTTGTATTCTTGGAAGATCCAATAGTAAGCGGAATAGCACTTAATGAAATGTTAAATACAAACAGGAGGATAAATTCTTAAAGGAAAAAAGTTTTTACGGTTGAAGAAGCATAACAGTACTCTCCTGCTGCGTCCCTATGCATGTAGTGTAGTCTTAATTTTCAAGATTCCGGTATCACGTCATCTAGGTAGGATTTCTTGTATAACACCGGCTTCCAGATTGTTTCGCAAGCCGCGCTTCCACTGTTTCTCGTGAAAATTTCTCGCCTGATTTCTGGAATCTTAGTCATAACTTTTGCTGATTGCAGTCAATCAAATTTTAACTCCTTGTCATTTCTGTATAACGTTTTCCATTTGCAAATAGATTACAATCACGAAAAGTGAAAGACAATAGAGATACCTAATATCATAATTTTTCTTTGAATGTAAGAAATTTGTATATCACTTAAAGAACCTTCTACAGTTTTGTTTCGAATTTCAACCCTATTTAGTTAATTTTTCTCACTGCGTAGCGTGATCCACCTTGCTGAGAAAAGGAAGACAGTTGCCATGCGAGGTCAGTGACAGCGGGACACGAATGGCTAGTAACTCTGTTAGACGCTCGACAGTGTCTAACTATTGGTAGTCGTGCATTTGTTATAAATTAACGCGGATTTATCTGGTAGGAATAATTTTTTGTATCACATTGTGGTGAACATAGTCGTGAACTGTAATCGATTAGTCGAACAAAGTCGACGAAGGTAGTTAGAGAAAAAAAACTTACAATTGCTACAATATATACGTTAAAATAGGCTCGAGGATCGCGTTAATAGACGACGTTAGAGACGAAAGAATACGTGGTAAACGGCGAAACGAAAGAACCAACTGACGATCATCATTGCGCAATGGAAATTGACTCAATGGCTCTAATTTTCGCATTGTTATGTTAATTGCGAGCGTGACACGCCTTCTACGATATACGGGGTCTATCTGAAGGAATTTGACGCGCGAAATGAGTATTCTCAAACTGATTGAATAGAGGTTTTATTATCACAATGGTCGATTATTTAAAAAAATTTTTTTTACAACTACATATGAGAGACGATTGATAATAGGATTATAATGACGACATAGAATAATTAGAAAGCTACAAGGGTATAAGTTAACTGTATCTCGTGACTCGTTGACACGCAATTTTCTAATTGATGCCGTATCAAACGACAATGTGAACGTGATACTTTGACCGGCTAATCTCCACATGAAAGCTCATCACGTCGATCGTTCTGAATCACCAGAGTACCGTAACATGAAGTAACAGATATCGAAATACTAGTGACATCAGCTCAATGCCGTTCCTGACCTCATGTGAGTGTGATATATAGCTTTCTTTCGTGTCATTCTTGTTGATTGAATTCCTTGATACCGACTTAAGAGAATGCTAATGAACAGATGAAGTTCAGAAAATATCTATGTGTCTTTATATCGACGTAATTAACGATTTTGGACTTCGACCCACGAAAAGCATAGAATACAAATATACAGGGTGTTAAAAAAGGGTCTAAAATCTTAACAACTTATAGCTCTCGACGAGAGAAGTAGAAAAATGTTTAATCAACGGTAGGTCCTAAAATTCTAAAGTCTTAGACTCTTCTTTTTAATAACATCCTATATATAGATGGAAGAAAGTGGCGTAAATCCATTAGAATCATGATTTATAAAAAGTGATGAGCCGAATTCTTTGGCGATTTCTATATTACGATGACACGATGATGTCAGCACCGTACAGAACCTTCCTGACACAAGTCACTATTTATAAGTATTGCGTCCGTTCAACAAAATCTTGTCGTGTGAGTATCAGAGAAGTATTTTGATGGGCAGTAGGTACACGAACGACCATTTCGTACGTGGATCACCGAGGCGAGCGTCGGTGAAATTCCGTGTTTTTTTTTTTTCGTACGCGCAGCAACTCGTGGCCGGCGACCGTTGAGAGGCGCGCTATACTTATTTATAGCATGAACGACGGCAATGTAATAACAGTACTCGGGTTTTTTTTTAGTAATTTTTTAAAGTGTAACTTGAGAAATATATGTGTATTGTATATTTCTAACTTGAACTTGAAATTTCAATCGAACGTTCTTCACTTGAGAATTTCAAATTTAAATTTAAATTCCGAATTGGAAATAATAGAAAGTCGAGAAAATTTTGAAGATAATTAAAAAGTTTGACAACGGTTAACGTTCACTTAGGAGATAATTTCACGCTTTAAGGTTAGGTTAGGTTAGGTTAACGATTTGTTTCTTATTCAAGTTAACACTTGTTATTAATTCATTGCGATAGATATTGTATTATGTAACGAGGGAATTTTTAGTGTGAATGAACGATTCAGTGTGATAATCTGTTTTTTCCGATGGACTTCGACGAATGTAGAATGTGCAAACTCTCCCGGCCTCTACTTTGCCGGAATGTTTTATTAGAGGGTATTGTATTGGCGTTAATATTCACGGATCTTGGCTTTTATTTGCTGTCACTGCTTAAGCTTCCAGGTAAATTTTCAAATTTCAAGAATTCCCTTTCATTTCACATTAATCAGGATGAATTTTTTGTATGCTCCCTAATGAATCCAGAAAGAACACAAAGGAACACGTGTTTAACGTTCACAGAAGTAATCAGCGCTGAAAATCTAGCGAAGTAAAAGCGCACCTTTTAAGGCGCACGCAAGGTGTCGCTTTCGAGCGTCTATTGTAAAGATAAGCAGGTGCAGACCGTTAAGTACAAAAACGACTGTAATTTAAGAACAGAAGGGAAGCGGATTGTGGTTCCTTTCCATCTGTCGTTTCTTAAGTAAATAAAAAAATCAACTGGTTAACTTTGTCATTCACCGTTAAGAAATGATTTGTAATGCTGATATTCCTGTGAGAAAAGCAAAGAAATCAACGGACTATTTCGACTTGTTTTACGACACAGAGCCAGCCGCTCCTTATGGCAGTGTCGACTGATTCGACGCGTCACGGGCAAGTTAAATTTATGATCGCGCGACAAAATCGCTTGCAGCCGGCTATGCGTCGTGAAAAAAAAAAAGACGAGAACGATTTGATGATTGGCTCGTTGACTGGCTGGAATCGTTCTGTTTCCATCGAAGAAAAATGTGTGTTTAATTAAAAGCAATCAGGAGTAGTACGTTGTGTTACGTTTAAAAATAGAGAACGTTCAACTTCGTTCCAGTGATGTAAATGTTAATTGAATTATGTCTAGTCGTAGAAGTAGGGATGTCATGATGGAAGTAGGAAATTAACGAACGTTTCGCTCGTAAAACGTGTCAGGAACTTTCTTGGTTCTTGCGTCTTTATCGAACTGAATTCTTCTAATGTCTGCAATCGTCCTTCGATTAAAAGTCATAGCATTCGTTGCTTTTTTCTCTCAGAAGGATGTTCAGTGACCGTGTTGATATCATTAGAGAAGATTTACAATCGAGCAACGTATCACGATATAATCTAAACTCGTAATTATGGTTAGCACGATATATTGATCGATGCAAGTCCTGCATTGCCCTACTTTTGTTTGTCACGTCGACTATACGAGATGCCAGGGCGTCCAGACGTCTGGGCGTTCGAAAGTTCTACTTTTCTTCTGCCAAATGCATCTTTTATCCTTACGCTAAATGAACTGGTTTTTCAATTTATCCGGACCGTTACTGTCCAACGTAGATTTTATGAAGGTCATTCTCCATTGTCAAATAGATATCTTCTTACTGCTCTTCCTGTGAGAATTGAAAATTGCTTATTTCAAATGTGATCGAAAACATATCCTTTTTTGTTTGTTTTTAGCACTTTCTACCGAGGACAAATTGGAATATCATTTCTATCCCGTCGCTAGTGGTCAGCTTCAGTTCCGGGTAAAATCTCCGCATGATGTTCATGTTGCTCTTACAACGGGTCCCGAGGCCGGAGAACCGATGTACGAGGTAAAAACCGATCTATCTTGTTACGTTCATTAGTTTAACGAACTTCCAAGTATTACTGTTTATGTGTGTTAAAAAATTAGGTTTTCATTGGTGGATGGAACAACAGCAAATCCGTAATCCGTAAAAACAGAGCCAAGCCTGATGTTGCTGAGGTAGAAACACCTGATATCCTCAATGGTGACGAGTTCCGTGGATTCTGGATTAGGTGGGTGTTTTGTATGAACTGTAGATCAATGCATACTAATAAAAAATGCGGTTGAAGAGAATGAAAAGTAGAAAAGAAATATTTCTTTTGTGAAATTCAGTGGATATTTCTCTTATATTTTCCCTAACGTGTAATTCCTCTTTAGATGGGACGATGGTGCTATATCAGTAGGTAAAGAAGGTGAACCAAGCTCATTCCTTACATACGCCGATCCAGAACCATTTGGAATTGGTTACTTCGGTGTGTGCACCGGTTGGGGTGCATCTGGTGACTGGTTAATCGAAGGTAAAATAGCCTTCTCTTTCTAGCGTGCTTAAATACCACACATTTTTTTATTAGTTGTACGTTAGGATAAATATTTATCATAATTCACATAAAAATAGAATTTACTTGGCACTGAAGTAGAAAAAAAGAAGAAAACGACCTGATAAGTATTATCGTAGAAGCCCTAGTTTTAGTATTCTAGGAGTAATCACCGTTGCAACTCTCGTTTAATACAACTATATTTTTTCCTTTTTCTTTTCTTTTGCTTGAAAAAAATATTTGCAAATTATATTCGAGGAATATATATTTAGATTATCATTTTCCATTTATTAATATAATTTTCTTGCTGGTATTTTATCGGATTTCGGACGGACTCTACTAACGCATCGTTGTCCATACAGCCATATGTGTCGCTGGTCACAATCGTACGTAAAGTATACGAGGCCTGCCGAGAAACATCAGTTTTCCCTTTCAGCTTGTTTTTGCTCGAATATGTTTGATCCTAGCACGTTTACCCTTCGCCTTAAACGGTGTTGAATTAAGAACATATCTCTATTAGCTATTATCTATTCATGGGTATTTCTTTCAAACACTTGACAATCTTAATTGGACGTCGTTTAACAAAAAGGGCACATGCACGAGAGAGAAATTGTAGATCCATTCGTAGTTACGCTTGTGTCTCGCTTCAATGTGACCAAGAAAACACTAGGTCACTAGACGTTTTTCAAGCTTATTGTTGGTACGACTGAGATCACATATCAATCGCGGCAGTTTCAAGGAAAATCGTCACGGATGTACGAGTAGGGCCTCGAAGACACGTTCCAAAAGAATTATGGAAATTTTAGGGAACAACGAACGCGTAATAAAGAAATGTCGATGGAAAGTTCAATTGGAAATAAAATCTTTCGATTTCCATAAGGACATGGCGCAATCAAGACACGAGATGAGTTAACCTACAAGTTTCACAATGTACGGAGCGGCTCGGTCCTCATCGAGGTGAGGGCCAAGAGCAATGCGCACATCGCCCTGACCAACAAGAAAGGCGAATCGAGCCCGATGTACGAGATCCTGCTTGGAGGCTGGGAGAACATGGCGTCCGTCATCAGATACGATCGCAAACAGCCTGACAAGGTTCGAAATCGACGAAACTCGAAATCATCTTCCGTTGATCTTAGTATTATTCCTTTAACTCTTCACTTAATAAATTAATTGGCCAGTGAAGAACTAGTAAGTTTGCCTACCTCCCAGCATTATAAATAAACGGTTTCGTTGAATATTCAAAGAACAAGGAACGAGTTGAAGGAATTCGGTATTCGAGTTTCGGGCAAACACAGGAAAATCATTCCTCCGATTGTTAAAACGATTGATTTTACACGGACAGGTGCGCGTGAACACGCCAAATTGGCTCGACGGCCGTATCATGGTCAAGGCCGGTGATCTTAACGGTTCTGTGATCATGGAATGGCAGGATCCAAAGCCAATTGGCGTGAGCTACGTGGGCGTACGCACTGGTTGGGGTGCAACCGGCAAATGGAAGCTTCGAACCGTGCAGTACCCATCCCGCCCGGCTCCCAATTCTAAGAGTAATTTGCCTGTTGAATTTCTGTTTATTTTTTTCTTCCCTTTTGCCTCTTCAAATCATTCTTGGTGACAGAGTTCATCGATTATTGGTCGCTTGTGGGCGTTAAAGCTTTTTGTTTTTTTAATACGTCGGTTTGAAGGCAGAATAATTGGCGTCACTTACTGCTTAGCAGCCAAGGAGCTCCATCGAATTATTTTTCCATGACGGCGTACGCTGTATTCTCTCTGCTTGCCTCCCTTTTCTACGGATCTCGGGATCGTTAAATGATAAAATTGCCCACGATCGTGTACCAGCTGAGATTTAAGCATCCACACCCACAAGGGAACAGGATAATTATAAGTCTTCGAAGAATAATAATTATATGTATTTTTGCTGAACGTAAAAAGTTCAGCAACTGGTTAACGCATTCACAATGATGTGATATCAGTGTACCAGTCACATATCACATGAAGCTTTTAATGACAGCATGTTGCAGCTTCCTCCCTATTGATTTGCACTCTCTATGTATTGTAACATTCATCGATATGTGTAAACATATCTTGTGACTCATCCCATGAAATATCATATTTCTCGTCATTGTTTTGCATATGTGTTCATCGTTCCTCACACGTCATCACTGTGAACGTTAACAATATCATGAAGAGCCTTCAGTTGTGTTTGTTTATGTATCTGCAGCATGGAAGAAAGTTGTGACGAATTTATTTTTTAAATGAATAACCTAACCTTACATTACTACGTGGCATGTTGTTTATTCGTGGTACAGATGCTGTGCATTATAATGGCCGTTCGTATGCAACGGTAAAATATATCGATTGACGAACGGCCACTATAGTGGCTGTTGATATCGGTTCACGGAAAGATTAATTAATGCATTCCTGTTGAACCTGCTTATAGACACGAACCCATCAGCTCCCCCACGTCAACCGGCGGAATATGTGGAAGTGGGAAAAGTTTGTTGGGTGGATGCGACCGGTGGAATGCTTCCTCCAGCTGCAGTCGAAGGTGGAAAGGATGATGAAACCCTATACGTGGGCAGAGCCTATCATGAGGGTGCTCTTCTGCCTGGTAAAGTAAAGCCAGGGCACTCTGTGTGCTATGTTGCATGGGGTGGTGGCGAACATGGAAAGTCTGATTACCAGGTACAATAGTAAAAAACAGATACGTGTATTTATCTTGTGTTAAGTAAATTGCAGTTTGTTGATTAAATTATTTTTCTTTTCTTTTTTTAGGTCCTCTGTGGTTGTGAACCCGCATGGGTGCCAACGAACGGAAACAACATTCCTCCCAATGCAATTCCAGGTGGCGAAACAGAAGATAACGAGACACTGTATGTTGGTCGTGTAGAGCACAGCGGCACTCTAACGATCGGCAAGGTGCAACCCTCGCACAGTGTGTGCTACATACCTTATGAAGGTGTCGAGATCGCGTACCCTGAATATGAAATCATGGTTGAAAAATAAATATGTCACGCACCCGTCCAGCGAGAGATTAGAGTTAGCTGCACCGACGACGATGAATCTGTCAATGAATTTTAATTGCCTTAAAATGACTTTATTTCAGAGCGCAATGAAATATCAGAAGTAGGCTATTTTAAAAGTCCCAAAAAAACATTTTATCTGTGTATAATTATCCTGATTGATAGCGCCCTGAAAACGATTAAATATGTTTCCAGTCCAGTAATCGAATCTCGATAATTATCCATATTTCAATAAGGGGGAGGGAAACAATGTATTATAAGATTAACGAGAATCTCCTACGTGTGCAAACTAGTCTAGATATGAATGGGCGGATTTGATGTTCACATTTCATCGGTCAGTCGGTGTACAACGGGCGTATACTTCCGCACAAGAATTGAAATCACAATACGTGTAGAACGCGCAAATCAAACTGACAACTATATGTGTAGCTTGGCTATGAATGCGCTAATAATTAGCTGCATATGCTATCATTAATTCCTATTGAATGTTTATGCAGTTCAAACTATGTTGCTTGTTGGTTCCTGTTCCGAACGGAGCATCGCAAAAAAAAAAAATGTATTTGATTAGCCTTTATTTTAGTTACGAAGCAATAAATGATATTTCCAGAACAAGAATTGTGTTACCTTTGATCTCCTGCAACTTTCAAGTTTTCTTTAAATATTACATTTAATGTATATACAAAACTTATTATTAATTTACATACGCTTTATGAAAGAATAAATATTTGCAAAAATAGTATATACAAAGTGGATAATTTATTTATTAGTTTCTGGTGATTTTTTCAAGTATGCTTAAATTGGTACAACTGGTTCATAGTTTGTGGGTTTGTTCTAAATAAGCCGGATTCAACAATGGCGGTCAATCCGTCATGGCTTGCCGTTAAATGTCAATCGGAAGGGAAAAGTTTAAAATAGTGGCTGATCGAAAGTGTTTTGTTTATAAGAATGGCTGCGAAAGAGCCTACAACCATCGACGATGGTATCGCCGAGCCCGGTATTGAACCAGGTGCCTCCGCAGAGACAATGCTCGTTACAACTGACAGTTTTGAAGAGTATGAACAAGAAATGAGCAGTAGTATTGATGATAGACAAATGAAAGAAAGCACAACGAGTACTATTTCAGAAATTCAGGAAGATGTGCAAGACATTCCAACAACACCCACTGCATCCAGTCCACGAGAACTTCAAAAAAATTCTTCACTCGATGATTCCGAATTAGTATGTTTCATAACCTCTGTTTCACAAAACACTGAACGTACTTAAATTGAAAATAAGTATAAAGAATTAAAAAGTTGCAAATTATTTGCAATAATTCATAGAAACTGTTCAAGGAAGTTGAGTTTTCCTAAACATTATAGTTCAAGGCCTATTGATCATTCTAATTGAATTTCTTAATGTATCTAATCTTGTAAAGAATTTCTTATTATTTGTAATCTAATTAAGTCTTTATGTTTTAGGAGGATGTTACACATCGGTTAGGTCAATGTAGCATAGAATCAGATCCATTACGTTGTAAGACATGGTTAGCACAAAAGAAACATGTATTTATTTTGAGCCAGGCAGGAAAACCCATATACTCTAGATATAGTTCAGAGGATAAACTAGTCACAGTTATGGGTGTAATGCAAGCTTTAGTTTCATTTGTTCAGGCAGGCAGTGATATGATTAGATCTGTTCATGCAGGAGACACTAACTTTGTATTTGTTGTAAAAGGTCCATTGATTTTAGTTGCAGTTTCAAAAACACTTGAAAGTGTACCCCAACTTACATTACAATTAACGTATGTAAATTATAATAGGACAAATACTACTGTATTCAGTAAAATTAAAATATTTCACTGGTAATTTTTTATTTTGTAGATATGTATATAATCAAATAGTCTCTGTGTTAACACAGTCACAGTTAACCAGAGTATATGATCAACGTAGAAATTTTGACTTAAGAAGATTGTTAAGTGGTAGTGAAAGACTGATAGATCATCTATTAAATTTTGTGGATAGAGAACCAGCATTCTTTCTAGGAGCCATTAAATGTTTGCCTTTACTTCCTTCAATGAGAACCTCTATCACACAAACTATCATTCAAATATGTGGCAAAATTAAGGTACTTTTGAAATATATTAAAACTTCTAACTGGCACTGCATTTAAAATCATACTAATAAGGTGAATGTGACACTTTTCAGAATTTAGTATTTGCAATACTCCTAGCTAATAACCAATTGGTAACATTAGTCAGAATGAATAAATTTTTTTTACACCCTGTGGATTTACACATAATACAAAATTTGGTCGACAGTTCAGAGTCACTTAAGACTGCTGAGAGCTGGACACCGATATGTCTACCAAAGTTTGATGCCAATGGTTATATGCATGGACATGTGTCATATTTGGCTGAGGATTGTCAGGCATGCTTACTACTGCTCACAGTTGATAGAGATGTATTCTTTGTTCTTTCTGAAGCAAAACAAGTATGTGTTTTCGTATAAAAATTTACCAAATTTAAGGAACAGCCAATATAAAAAATAATGAGAAATTTTATTTCTAGAAAATCGTGGAAAAATTAAGGCGAACAAATTGTTTGGAAGTAATTAATGAATCTATGAATAAATCACCGATTAAAACTGCTGATATTGGATTGCCAGAAATGCGACACGTTTTATATAAATGTAGAAGTACGGCACAATTTTGGACTCCTGGTTTTCAACCTCCATATACAACAGATGATGAAATAGAACGGTAATTATGATACTTCAAAATTCGCACAGTAATGTAACTGAAACATAATAACGAAAAATACCTTGTATGATATGTGCGTTTTTTTCTACAGATTACTGGGACTTTATCAATGTTTACACCACAGACTGCACTCTCCTAATCGACCATTAAAACTTATATTCCAACAGCTAGATAAAGAGACTATGTTAGCATGGGTAAGCTGAACTGAATGTAATATAAGATATCAAAGTGTTTGGTACATAACTGAAGTGTATCTGTTTTATAGGTAACATTAGGTTTTGAACTCTATGTTACATTTGAACCACTTGTAACAAAACCTGATGCCATTGAGGCAGTGAGTAAATTGTTGAAATGGATTAAAAAAGAGGAAGACAGATTATTTATTTTAAATTCGCCAACATTTTAAAAATCGATATGACTAGTAATATTTTAAAAAGGTTACAGAAGTGTGTATCAGACAGAATATAATTCAAAATAACGTGGGATGCATTGTTTGATAACTGTTTATATCAACCCAATGGAATATAAATGAAGTAAATAAGAAATAATTATTGCATCAAGAAATAAGTGCATTCGCGTTTTTCTCGTGCATTGGTACTATACTTTGCTCACTATTTTTAATTATAAAAAGTACTGTGAAATAAGGTAGATATGTGAAAATGTATATATTCAAAGACATTATGCATGTAATCATGTGGATTACATTTATAGACAGGCTATGATACTCTCAACTTATTTTATTACATGGTGCTCGAGAAAACTTGTCACTGTATTGTTAAAAAGAAATTAATTAAAAGAATAATATCTTTTTATATCATTTAACAAACATCTGGCATCTTTAAAATAGTATTTTGTTAACAGTCACAGTGATAAATTTTCTCTGATATTTTGTAAATAAGCGTAAAAGCAACGGCCATTGTTTCATAATCTTGTTAAGTCAAAAAGAAAGAAAAAAAGGTAATTTCAGATAGAATAAATAGGGTAATGTTAAAAATAAATATTGTCACTTGCAACATATAATGTACGGGTATTATAAGCTACTACGTAGCGTTTCTATCGACGAATGCTATAATTTTAATACAAAACTATTCCTTATAAATTACGTACTGCTGTTAATCATGATCGAAGTGCAGTACACACGACAAAAAAATTCAAGGCTTGTATTACCATCTTACGTTTTTTATTTACCCGATAGTTATAAATGCCAGTCGTTAAGTCTTGTACAAAATTTGTCATACCTTGATATTTTAATTTAATGCCTAGTTCTGTCGCGTTCTCGTCTTCGATCTCGATCTCGATCCCTCTCTCTCTCTCTATCATCTCTCCTATGCCTGTCTTTATCTCTGTCTTTATCTTTATGTGAAGAAGAATGACTTTTTGGTGATTTACTCCGTTTACGTTCTCGTCTATCTCTATCTCTGTCCCTACTTCTTGATCTCTGTTTTTCTCTGTCAGATTTTTTGTCAGAACGCGAATGTCTTTTATCTCTGTCCCTATGACGATCTCTGTCTCTATCGTGATCGTCTGTTCTTTTACGAGTATCTTCTTTGACTGGAGGTATATCTTCATCCTCAGATGATTCTATTCCTTCATCCATATCATCCTCTAATGCTGATACTTTTGCTTCTGCAATTATATATTTTAATGTTTAAATCATCCTCTTTTGGGTTGAGAAAATTGACAGACTTACCTAATTCATTATTCTCCTCAAGAACATGTCTTTTTTGTATTCTTGGTAGAATAACATCACAAGATCTTTCATCCCTAAGAAGATCATCTATAAATTCATCCATGTGAATCAACTCAAATTTGCCTTGCTTATTTTGCCTTCTTAATTTCCTATTGTCATTAAATAAGGGCTCTAAGTATTTGTAGCAATCTAAAGAAGATCCTGTTAGTCTCATGTATAATGCCCCTAGTGCACGAACATATTTAAATTCTTCATTTTTTATAAACTCTACTATAATGTCTTTCTCAGGCTGTATTTGAAGCATTTTTAATATGAGACAAAGAAATGGTGTAGGTTTTACGTTTCCACCATATACACCACCTATAAACCTACAATGTGATTGTTTATATTAGTAATAGGTTATGTCTTGATGTGAATTATTAAAAAGATTCTATATACATACGTATCAAAAATTGTAAAAAATGTATATATAAATAATGTATCATACACATGAGAACAACTTGTTTAAATAAACAAACATTCTATGGTAAGTATTTGCTAACCTCAATTCCATAGCTTTGTCGACCAAAAGTTCTGCGGTTAGAGCGAAACATTCTTCCTTCCAATATTTCGAATCGTACACTCGAGATCTGATTATCTTTTCTACTAAATATTGGGGATTTGTACCCCTAATAGATTTTGCATCCTTTACTGTACGATTAGCCATTTTTAAATCGTATTAAGGTTAGAAATGAACTATTTTCGAAACCTACTTGGAATAATATAGGTAGCTATAGAATGCACTTTGTAGGGAATTTTTTTTGGCAGTTGTATAATTTATTTATATCACAACCTGCTGGAAATATGAATATAAATCGATACTGTTTTGTTCTTAAAAACTTGTATAAAAATGTATATAAAGTATATGTCAAATTATAGTTCAACGAAATACATAGAAGAGAAGCAAAAATATCTTCGAGTTAAAACCACGAGTAATTGTAATTTTTTTTAGCAGTTCAACTTTCAAAATCGTAGAAATCGGAGCAAGGAAAGTTATACGCTTTTACTCGAATGTAAAGTTGATTCATTTCTGTCGAACATGTACCTGCATGTTAATATTATTATCAGCTATTATTTTGGCATCTTACGAATTTCTAAAAACACGTTGGAAAAGAAAGATCGACAACACACATACGTACACCACGTGTACGGCTTCTCGCTATACATTCTCTCACGCTCAGAAGAAATTTGCGTCAACTGTGTATAGTAAAAAATACGATATAGGAAAACGCAGTTAGCATTATTATCGCATCACTATGAAAATATGCAGAACCCGGTACCTTGCAAAGGTGCAGCACGTTTTAAATCCAATCTACAGCAATTCTTAAATTACGTCATTCATTTCTAAAATTTCTTATTAATCGAGGATATGAAATTATGATTATTTATTTTTTCCATCGTAACCGAGACTAATACAAGAAAAAAGGCCCACGAAGCAACAGAATACGAGTCGGTATCCCTACTCCTGGTCGACTCCTTAGCGACGTCGCCTTTCTCTCAAGCTCAGGGCCCGTAAAGAGGCCCCATTCTCAGTCCTCGTCTCTTTCTCTCACGCTAGTCTCCTTCCTTCCTACCCACCTTGCAACCTCTGCTCACCTGAACAGCCATCTTGAGCCTACACGTCGTGCTATTATAGCTTGTCCTCTTTAAGACGTATTTTCCATTCGTTGAGGTGATCAGCCGCGTCGACTCGCAGCCAGCAGAGACTATGCGAACCGATGCAACGGACTAACCGTTCCCTCTGTTCTCGACAGTTCCAGCCTCTTTCGCGATCCTGTACGTGCATGCAAGTTTGTTTCTTCCAGTTTAATATTTATATTTCACACGAACACATATTCATATCGTCGACATCCGTTTCGCATACTATAGAAGAATACTAAATGAAGATTCTTTGAGAGAATAAAATTTAGTGAACTGAAGTGGTGAAGTTTAGTGATTGTGAAACGAGTAGATGTCTTTGGAAGTGTCTTGAGCGGAATCTGGCGAAGGAACGAGGTGAAGGTACATACGTCGAGAATCAATTCGATACAATCATGAAATTTCAGTGCGTAAAACTGCTTGGATTACGAAATCGAAATGTCTGCAATATTTTAATCGCGACAGATTTAATTCTTCGATATCCTATGAACGTTAATCCCTCTTGTGCTTCTTCCTGAATAATATCGCATTGCTATTTTTTCGTACATAGGTCGATTTATGTTCTAATTTGTTTAGAAACCTAGCTTTGTAATTTCCAATTTCACAATTTCCAATTAAGGCCAACGAGCCAGCGATTTCAATGCTGTCGAACGTACGTGATCCGAAACGCGCGCCTCCTGTGCATTGTTTACAAACCGATGCATCGATCAGCGAATTTTATCACGCTTTTACATTATATGTATACAAGCGAGAAAATTTTTCACGTAAATGACGTAGGGAGATTACACGAAGAATGAGTCAGAACTGTTGTATTCGATCTGTAATCCAAGAAGAAAAATCGATCCCTCCATCGAACCGGTCCTTATAGGAAAAAATACGTGACTAACATGAACCGCGTTTTGTTACGCGTTCTAATCGATAGATCGTTGCAAGACGCGTGGGCTACACCTTGTTGGGGCCGATCGGTGAACGTTCCGATGTAAATGTCACGGGCGGCATTGGCTACGATCGAACGTGAGAATACTTGGAGCTGAAAGAGACGCTGCGGAATCGGTGATGAGGAAACGTTGAGGACGGCTAATTTGTAAAGGAAGAAGTAAGTGCTTCCTGAATCTATCGGTGATTATGAAAGTAGCCTAACTCCTGTATTTTATTTTTATTTCGAGATATTTCAACTTTTCAACTACCATTTTTGATATTTTCACTACGTAGTCCATCTAACGATTTAATTTCCGAGTATTTTGTAAAATACGAAGAAAATAATAATTTATATTTAAATATGATCACTTTTATAAATCCTCATGAATATTAAAATAATTTTTTATGTA